CCAATCATGAAGAAAACAATGATGATTACATGGAAGATGAACATGAAATGGAAGATGTAGATGATGACATGGGTGATGAGTTTCATGGTCGAGATGCTGGTGGCTCAGATTCCGATGCAGATGAGTATGATTACATGGTGTGTTCAAAACCTATATGTGTGAGCTCAATTGTTTATGTCCGTAATGCGTTATCTAAGTGAAATATTATTTTACATGATTTGCTCTAGGAATCTTCAACCTTCTTCTATCCTTGCTGCTAACTCTCCTTTTTCCTTTTGTTGTACAGAATGATAGAATTCAAGATACTACAGCCGCTCAAGCTAGGAGAGGCAAAGATATTCAAGGGATTCCTTGGGATAGGCTCAGCATAACAAGGGAGAAGTATAGGCAGACTAGAATAGAACAGTACAAAAATTATGAAAACATTCCTCATTCTGGAGACGGATCAGAGAAGGTGAACTGTTTAGTTTTACTTTTAAAAAGGTCCCTTCTCGTTTCCTCTGAAAAAAAAAAAAAATGGTTCGGTGAATTATTATTATTATTATTATTTTTAACTCACTTTGTATTCCTTTTCCTCTTCTGAATAGCGATGCAAAACCACAGATAAAAGGGGATTGTATTATGAATTCAGACGCAATTCTAGATCTGTGAAATCAACAATCTTGCATTTCCAGGTCGGTGACACGTTTTTATCCTTAAGTTATTTCATCAACTAGATAAAGTTTACTTTCTTCCTATATGTTTTTCTGTTGTCTGCATCTGTTAAGTTCGATTTTAGACACTCAGTAGGAAGTCTTTTCTACTTCGGTTCTGTAGAACATTAAGTGCTTAATGCTGTATTTCGTTTCATTAATTGATATCATCATCATCTGCTGATATAACTTTTTATTGTTGAATATATTTATCATGTCTTGAATGGTGGTGTTCCTTCTGAGTTATTTGTTTAGTTTTAGATATTGCATCAATTACTTTCGAGGGGATTATATGCTGTTGTAATTAGATTACTCGAAAGGAAAACTGTTGAGATATGAAAATTTCTTCTTTTAAGCAGTCTGAATGAGATTTTAAGATGTTCACATTTATTGATAACTTGGGTATGAAAGATGACTCCTACACTTAAGGATGTTACTATCTATCAGATAACAGCTGTCCATTTTAAGATGTTTACGTTTATTGATAGCTTGGGTATGAAAGACGACTCGTACACTTTAAGGATGTTATTATCTATCAGATAACGGCTGTCTTGATTTTCCACAAGGAGCAGGCTATTAAAGCAGAGGAAACACAAATTAGTGAAGATGATGAGTAGTCACCATTATGTAACGTGCTTGAACAGTTGAACTCATATAAGATTTTGTTCCACATTCATATATCCTTTTTTTGCTCTGGTTTGCGTTTATTTACATTTGATGAAGTCATGTTTAATCTGGCTCTTTTCTATGAGCCTCAATAACAAAAGCCCATTATGGAAAGAAGAAAAAATGGTCAGCAAAAGGAGTAGGGGAAGAACGAGCTGGCAGGGGGAACAGGGATCATTATTCTGTTTGTTTGATTCTTTTATTGTTATTTCATCTTCTTTGTTCTAATTTTTATATGGCTTATGTTTGCTTTATAAGCTCAATAACTGAAACTCACAATCATTGCTTGATGATGCAGTTGAGAAATTTGGTATGGGCTGCAACAAAGCATGATGTTTACCTCATGTCCCGTTTCTCAGTTTTGCATTGGTCATCCTTGACTTGCACTAAGACTGAAGTTTTTAATGTGTCAGGACATATAGCACCTTCTGAGGTGAGTATTTTGTTCTCATATATTGTATATTTCTAGTTGCGGCCTTCTCTCTCCTCCAATATTGGAGCTACAACCAGTCCAATACAAGACTACAAGTTATCTCTTTTCCCGCAATTGCAGAAACATCCTGGAAGCCTGTTGGAAGGATTTACACAAACCCAGGTCAGCACACTAGCAGTGAAGAATAAGCTTCTGGTTGCTGGAGGATTTCAGGGAGAACTTATCTGCAAGGTTTATATTATTAATTTATTTTTTTTCATTTAGTTATATAACAGTGTTGCAATATCTTCATTTGTGGTAGTTGCTTGATTACCGTTATTTATTTAGAACACTTTACTTTTATCTGTCTGATTTATCTTGCATTTCAATTTAAAAAGTCATACACTGCAGAGTGCTTACACGTTTAGTGGTTGACACTGTTTTTATTAATATTAATTAAGACCAAGTACAAAACAAGCTAGCAATTTTGATTCTGTTGCAAATTTACCACATTCGCTCTTGTTGTCACCAGTTTCTTAATGGCTTTAACATGTACAGTCTGAAAAAAACCAGTTTGGTTAATATAAAGAAGAATCTTACTTTTGAGTTGTTGTTAGGTTGTTCTTTTGCTTTTTGATCTGTTCCAACACGTATACTACATGTCAAGAACCTGAGCCCTATTATTGAGGCATTCTGTCCACTTATTTGACTGCAGTTTTTAGATAGACCTGGAGTGAGTTATTGCACACGGACTACCTACGATGACAATGCCATCACTAATGCTGTTGAAATATATACGTCAAGAAGGTATCTGCCATTCCTTCAAACTTGTGGATATGAGATTTTTTTTGGGCTTTCCTGAGCTTCATCTTCTCTTTTCAGTGGTGCACTTCATTTTATAGCTTCGAACAATGATGGCGGAGTTCGAGATTTTGATATGGAAAAATTCCAACAGTCTAAACATTTTCTTTTTCCTTGGCCAGTAAATGTGAGGTCCTTTCTCTCTTCTCCTGTGTCCTCCATACCCAGTCTCTTTGAGGTCACTTTTATCTTGGTCTTGACTTGCGTATTGAGGGATTCTCTCTTTTATATTTTAGTTGGTCATTTTGGTTAACCTTCTTGTTATATAAAAACCCCCAAGTAGCAAAGTTTAGTAGTATTGACATTGGTATCCAACCAATTCTTTTGCGGAGTCAGATTTAAGTGAACACTTTGATTGGGCAAAAGTCTAGTAGAATAAAACATTTGCCAGAAAAATCAATGAGTGAGGAATTTCAGGATCTAATTGAAATAAATAATGCCAGAATATTTATTTGTAGTGTCATGGCCCCCTCACCCTCCCTGCACACCTGCTCAGTCTTTGCACATCACTTAATTTAATATATTTGAAGAGGGTAGTTTTATGGTTGTCCAACACAATATCAGTGTGCAAAGAAATTTGAAGTTACTAAACTTGAGAGTTTTTCTTTTTTTAAATTTCTTTAGTAGGGTTGATGGGTAGGGTGGATGTACTTATGATAGTCAACTTAGTCCTAGGCAGTATATTCTGATAACATATCCTCTGGATTTATCGTTTCTGATGGTAGCATACATCTCTGAGTCCCGATTCTACGCTTCTCATAATTGTTGGAGATGACCCAGATGGTTTATTGGTGGATTTCAGGAGTGGGAAGGTATTATAGTATTTCCTTTGTGGATATTGAAAATAATGGGAGCATTCGAGTACCGCACTACTTCATACTAAGTTTTGTCTGTTTTCCAGACTGTTGCATCCTTGCGTGGGCATTTGGACTTTTCATTTGCATCAGCATGGCACCCTGACGGCTTGACACTCGCTACTGGGAACCAGGATAAAACTTGCCAAATTTGGGACTTGAGAAACCTATCCAAGTCGGTCGCTGCGTTGAATGGCAACCTTGGAGCCATTCGTTCGATCCGCTACACATCTGATGGTAGATTCATGGCAATGGCAGAGCCTGCGGATTTTGTCCACGTTTTTGACGTTGAAAGTGGTTATGAGAAGGAACAGGAAATTGATTTCTTTGGTGAGATTTCTGGCATGTCATTTAGTCCAGATACCGAGTCTCTTTTCATTGGTGTGTGGGATCGTACGTACAGTAGTCTCCTTGAGTTTGGTCGACGTCGGAAGTACTCGTACCTCGACTCCATTGTCTAAGTCAGCCGTGTAATCTGAAAAATAAGCGTGTGGACATGGCTCTTTTTTATGTGAAACAGTTTAAACTTAGTAGTCTTCAGTAGAGGTTTAGATCTGGATTGACATATTGTGCAATGAAGTATAAAAATGTTTGTCTTTCAGTTAGGTGACTGTACAGAAAACTAGATTAGTACCGGATTTGTGAATAATAAATAGAAGAGCGTGTGATCTTGACGCATTTGCCAGGCTTGTGACTTAGTTTAGGTTTCCTGTTTTTATGTTTCTGAGAACGTTTCTCGTAGTTCGTGACATTTTGTTAATGATTTACATTGCCGCTGTGATAGAGGAGCTAGTCTTTTGCAGGAATTTTGGCATTCAATTCTAATGATATTATGTTTCGTTTTGAGTATCATTCTTTAAAATTCATTTTTTGTTTTTCGAATTCGTTTTCAACTATGCATTCTCTTATTTTTTATGTACAGATGTATGATTCCTGAGACAGTTGAAACTTGAAATATTGGGATGAAATTGTTTTTCTGAAATAGAAGAATCGAACACAGAAAATTTCGTTTTTTCTTGAGATGTCTGTCTTTAAGATGTAAAATTGTAGGATATTCTTGAAATTAACCTAGAGTAAAGACTTGGAGAAAGAAAAAGGGGAAACATACTGGAAGTTTGTTTTCTCATTCATCATTTGAATCATGTTACAAGTACATACAATTTTAACAGAAAATGTTTATACATAACACTAGGCATGCATTCATTGGAAGATAGAAAAAAACAGGTTAAATCACATTTCGTAACGTCAGTTTCGATAACAAATCTGTAAAAAATTTCTTGTACTTGGGGTTTTTAGCCATTTCATTGAGATCGTTTAGCAGGATTCTTAAAAAGTCAGAAGTTGCTTTTGAACATATTTGGATTATTCAAACGGGCCCTTATTATCATGAAGAACGGCCAAGAATCTCTGATCCAAAAAGGACCAATGACAGGAAGCCAACTCAGTAAACAAAAATCTTTCTTCCGATTCACCTCTTCACAAAATTCATTTCTTTCTTCTCAAATTATAAACCTCTCATCTTTGATTAATAATATCCACACTCCCTTTATCAACATAATACCCAAATCCTCCTCCTCCCACCACCACCATAATGGCATCCACTTTGTTCTCCACACCAACTTTCCAAGGTCTTAGACCCCTCAACAAACCCACTGACACCACCTTCCAGAAACCCATCTCCGCCACCTTCTGCCGCACCAAGGCCAGCCCGAGCAGCCTTAAAATCAAGGCCGAGCTCAACCCTTCACTGGTGATCAGCTTGAGCACTGGACTCTCCCTTTTCTTGGGCAGGTTTGTGTTCTTCAACTTCCAGAGGGAAAACGTGGCGAAACAGGTGCCTGAACAGAATGGAGTTTCACACTTTGAAGCAGGTGATGTGAGGGCCAAGGAATACGTGAGCCTTCTTAAATCTAATGACCCTGTTGGATTTAACATCGTAGATGTCCTGGCGTGGGGCTCGATTGGTCATATTGTGGCTTATTATATTCTTGCTACCTCTAGCAATGGCTATGATCCAAAGTTCTTTGGTTGAATGAATCTCATGTAGACACTGTTACAGTATTATTTTTTCTTTCTGTACTTTTATGTTGATTCCAAACTTGCAATCTTGTCCTTAAATGCATCTATTCAAGGCATCCAATTTGTTAGAAATCGCGAGGGAGGAAAAAATCAATTATGTATTTTAAAGATTTAGAGTTCATGGACTAAGACGTCGATAGCCTAAGCTTTTACAAAAACTCTTTAACTCGTCAAATTGAATCGAAATCACAGTTTTGAAATCATCGATTTGGATTCACTCGATTTAGGTTTCGATATTTGATAACAAACCAAATCTTTGAAAATGGTTCATTCAAGTTTATATCTTTAAAAATCGTTTGAAATCAAATCAAACCTTTCACCCAATTTACCCAAGATATATTATTTGTTAGATTAGTTTATACTCAAACAAATTTACTTGTTATTCGGCGTCTATTGACTCTTTAGAAATATATTAATTTAATTATGATAATACCTTTTTTTATCTAAAAATGAAATTGTAAGTTTAAATCTGAAAAATATTTGATCAATTCTATGACAATCTTTGAAGTAACTTTTTTTATTTTCTTGATAAATCAATTTTGTATGTAAATAGTACCAAGACGAGACTAGAATTGAACTAAAAAAAAATTTCCGTTCAAAGACATTCACCTTATGTTGATCATGTATATCATGAGTTATCGAGTAAATTACTATTCCAAACCATCGAACAATCCCCTAGATTATCGTAGTTAAATCTCTAGTAGAGAGGTGCTAACTCTACCATGAACTTGTGACTATTCAATCTCCGTGCTAGACCAGCTCGATGCAAACGGTGAGCTAGCTTCCTTACTGATCATACAATCACCAAATGTGCATATCTAAATTTGGTTGAATATAGGGCCTCGTAATCTGGAGAAGATCGTTTAGACAAGCCTCGACATGTTTTCTTATGTATGATCCTTTCCATTCATGAAACACTGGATTTCTTGACAACTTTTCTTTTGTTCCTTTTGGAGTTCAAGACACTGGTTCAATCTGGGTTCTCAGTCTTCTTCATCTCTATAAGTGATTTTAAAGAATCTGTTGAATTCTAATTCTCATGATGATTCATTTTGGGAAATCACATTTTCAAATTCTGTTTCATCAAAGCAAAGTGAATGGTGAGGGCATTTTAGTTTCTCAATTCCAACTTCACGTGTGTCTAACTTATAAAAAGTTGTGTTGATTGTAGCGGAAATTTGTTGATTGATTTCTGTGTATTCTTGTGACCATTGTTATTTATCCAAAAATGGAGAAGATCACGCTCCCAGTCTACTTTGAGTACAAAACTTTGTAGGACAATTGTTTATGTGACATACAAGAACCTCTGATCGCAAGTCTTGATCTTTCTCGTAAATCACAAAAACTTCAACAACTTGGACAAAAGTGAAAGAAGAGTGACCTGCATTCTTACATATATTTCCTTGACATGTCTTGCTCAAGAATAACAGCGTTAGAATGTGTAACGACTCAGATCTCGTGCTCAAGCCGTTAAATGCTCATCGTTAACTCTTATGTAATGTCCACTTTGAAGGGACGTGCTCATCTTAGTTATCTAATTGATAACATGAATCAACTTAAGTCTTTCATAAGTCACATTTTGAGTTTTGAGGAGGAAGAAAGAAATTATTAAGAGGTAAAATGAGCAAAGACTATTTCAAAGGTAATGTCAAATTGGTACCAGAATTCAATTTAAATCTCTCATAGGACAAATGTCGTGAGTTCAAATTCTAGAGGATACGAAAGAAATCCGTGAAAAATAAGATGTGTATACACTATCAAAACGAAAATTACATATGAGTTAAAAGGCTTAAGCACGAGACATCAATTGTTGCGTACTGAATTATAATGTGTGCTCTCTAAGCATCTCTACAATATGAGGAAACAGAATTACAACTCTCTAAGTTTATCAGGAAAAAAGGTTGAGAGATAAGGAAAGATGCAAAGCTGAGATGTTGGAGTACAAATAATCCGGCCACTATCTGCAAGCTCAATAGAATTACTTTTTTACATACGTGGGACGTCTTTTCTTGAGAGCAATATGCAATCTTGCATTTGGTTCCCATCAAAATGTGGTGTCAGTCTTTATTTTAGTCTCTGGTTTTCCTCAGTCTCAACGTTCTCGTTGAGCGAAATGTGAAAAAAGAAAAGAAAGGAAAATTCTTGTATCGACCCCATCATCTCCACCCTCAGGATAAAATCAAGGAGGGAAAGAGATTTAAGCTGAAGTAAAATGAACTGAAAATAAAGACAGTAAACCGGAGGGATAGGCTTGCTCTAAATTACAGGCAGGGAAGAAGTAGAACTTTAATTCATACTTGCTTAAGGAAAATACAATGCATCCTATTCTATTTATAGAGAAAATACTAACAAATTATCTAACAAACTAACAAGATAACAAACTAAGGAAGGAACTAGAAGAAACTAGAATCTGTAGGAAAGAAGAGCTGCTGGTGAAGCCGTGTTGATGCTGTGAACTGGAGAGAATGGGGAACCGGTGATCTACTAACTGGAGAGTGAGTTGAACGGGACGCTGGGAACAAGTGGACTGCTGCTTCGTTGAACTGATGTTGTATGGTTGGTAAATATTCCAACAGCTACTATCTGCAAGCTCAATAGAATTACTTTTTTACATACGTGGGATGTCTTTTCTTGAGAGCAATACGCAATCGTGCATTTGGTTCCCATCAAAATGTGGTGTCAGTCTTTATTTTAGTCTCTGGTTTTCCTCAGTCTCATCGTTCTCGTTGAGCGAAATGTGAAAAAAGAAAAGAAAGGAAAATTCGTGTATCGACCCCATCATCTCCACCCTCAGGAACTACGAGATCCAAGGCAGAATGTTGCCCTTTAAGTTTTCCTATTTACGAGGTAAAAGATCTCCATGGACATGTGATGGCTAGGAAGGGGATGGACCAATCAGTCTACAAGTACAGAAAATTTTACAGAATTGGTATAGAAATTTGAAATCGACAACACAGATTCAAAATTGGAAAAAAAGGACACACATAGATGAATAGGATGCTGCCTATAAAACTTCTGTAAGTATTCCCCGTACTCAGGGGATATTTGGGGATGAACATCTCTGTGAATATGTAAACAATCTTTTGTACTCTCTCTGTTCCATAAAGATAGACTCGTTTCATTTTTCGTATGTCCCAAATTATAGATCATTTTTCTTATTGAAAGTATAATTGATTTCTTAATTTTCTAGTATATCCATATTTAATGTGTTCTGTTATCAACAAATATGAATGAATCTTATTTAAATAATTATATTAATTACATTTTCTTAATTTGTGTAAAAATAGAAGCAAGCCTATCACGGAGAGAGCATTGTAATGAGCTTATGTTATATTGAGAAAATCTCTCATTGATTAAATATGGTAATTAATACAATTAAAGAAATAATTAAATGCGAAGAGTGACTTCGATGTTGAAGGTTGGACTTTGTTGACCAAAGAAATTCACTCCCCTTTTTCAGTCTTCATTTTGGTTTTTAAAAAATAAATAAATTATCCAAAATGTTATTATCGTTTAAAAGAAAAAAAAAATCGAAAAATTATAAAAAGACATGGGATTGATAACAACATCATAACTCTAAGGGTTAATATTGATTGTATAATTTTGATTTAAATTAAAATCAGATTTTAATCTGTATCAAACAGGGCCTTAAAGTGGTTTCTTTTGTCAGAAGCAAAGGCGGAAGCCAAGACATCCTTTCTGAATACATAAATAAGAGAAAAAAAAATTATTATTTGCAATAAAAATTTGACAAAAGTTCTAACAAATAATGTGATTTTGCTTGTTTATTAAGTCAAATTAAAAGGGAAAAAGGAATTTATTTATTTAAATTTTTACCTACAATCCCAACTTTTTTTGTGGGCCCATGCATATCTTTGGAGAAAAATTCCAAAAAAAGCGAATGGGTGGAAGACGTGACACTCAATTTCCACGCAGCAGTTGAGAAATTACACTTCCATTTATTTTCTTCTTTTTCTTTATTTGTTTCTTTTTTCGTCTCGTCACAGATCTTGACTTGGGCTCTCAATGTACACGCGTGTTGTGGATGACATGCATACACACACAAATATATGCGTGTTTTTCATTGAGGAGCTGTCTTTCCTACACAGAAGAATCGCCATAGAGTACTCATCTTTTTTCAGCTGGGAAACCGTGTTCATCTTCTCGAAGTCTTTGATCTGTAAAACCTGCTACAAATTCGTTTCATGTCTTTTTCTCTTTGCGTCTTGTTTAGGGTTATTTCTGGTTGTCCAGTTCTTGAGATTTGTCTTTTGAGCCATTTCTAGTATTTTTCTCTGTGCAAATTCAGCCATCACTGTCCCGCAACTACTCCACAGTTCATTTTACACCTTCTTCTTTTTCTTTTATAATATATATACACACTGCTGTGGAAAACATACCCTGATCAGCCGAGGTGGGCTTGTTCTTGTGTTCTTCTCAATGGTGGATGATCAAGATATTCAGTCACAGTCAATCAAGAAATATGATCACAAAACCCAGGTATGCGGGCCTGTTCTTGGAGATGTGAATATGTGGATTAAGCTGAAAATTTCGAAATATGAGGAGGAAGGAACTAAAGAAGATCAGAATTATGGCTTTCAAGAAAAGGATCAGATGTATGATAATAAAAGGGTTTGTCGGTTTTGTAACAAAGTGTTTAGTTCAGGTAAAGCTTTAGGAGGTCACGCGAGAATTCACTTTCAAGCCAACAAAGATCTGGTTTTCAACAAGAAGCTCAAAGCCCATCAATCCATCAAGTTCAAGAAACAGCAGTATATGCCTGAAGACGAGGATAGAGTTATTGATTTTGTGAAGAAGTTCGAGGGATACAATAAGAAACAAACTTGTAAAATTTGTGGTAAAGGTTTTCCATCAGAGAAATCACTGTTTGGGCACATGAGGTGCCATCCAGAGAGGGATTGGAGGGGGATTCAGCCCCCTACAATGGCAAGAAACAGCTCGTGGTCGTCTTCTTCATCCGATGCTGAAACTCAAACAATGGATGACCGGACTGTTGATTTGACTAAGTCATTGAAGGGTTGGTCAGTGACTGCCAAGAGAGGCCGCAAGGCGATGGTGACATCAATCTCAGAGATTTCGAGCTTGGAGGATGATCAATTTCGGGATGCTGTTAATGATCTTATGATGCTGGCTGATGATGATTCATACGAAAGTGGCCTAACAAAAAGGCAAAAGGTTGATGAAAATGATGCTGCAAACAGTACTTCACTAAATTCGAAGGCTGGGATTGGTGACATTATTGTTTCTAAATCGAAGAAGCAAATAGTCGAAGAATTGAGCTCCTCCAACTTCGAAAAAAGTATGACAGGTGTAGGTAAAGCAAGAACTGGGCTTATCCTTGAAACACCCGTAGTAGAATTCGAGCATAAGGATTGCTTAGATGACAACAAGAAGTATTTAGAGACTAGTTATGGGAAAGTAACAATCAAGACCAAGAAGAGAAGGAAGAAGGTGAAATTGAGTGATTTGGACCTGGTACAAGATGCTAGTCCAAAGTTGGCACTACAGCCTGATAAGTACCATTGCAGCACTTGTGACAAGTCCTTCACAACCTACCAAGCACTGGGTGGCCATAGGTCCATCCACAAGAAAATCAAGGTCTGGATCGACGAAGATATTTTCAATCCCACTGTCCAATTGGCAGATGAAGCTAAAGAAAGTGAAGCTAGCAATATATGTAGGAGAGTGCTTGATTTCGATCTCAATGAAGTTCCTCCATCTGAAGATGAAGCCGGTATAGAGTCTTTAACTTGTAGTTAATAATTAAGGTTATGCATCTTCTTCTTGTAACTCTGATTTCCTTTAGTCAATTGGTATTCTCGACTTATAATTAGCTTATTAGCTAAGAACTTGTTAATTGGCGCAGATTTTTGCTTCTTGCTAATGTTATTGAAAGTGAATTTGGTTCAGTTCTTAATTATTTTTCTTCGTGAAAAACATGATAGCGTATAGGGGCTGCTAACACATGATCCCCCTATAGTTATGTTGGAACATTTTGTTCACCACGCTTGTCATCCCTTAAAAAATAATTAATATATTCATATTTTAATAAAAAAGGAAAAAAAATTCTTAAGAAACATTCTATAATTTCTTATTATAAGTTAAATTGGGAGTATATTCCACATAGAATTTCATCTACTTGTGGGGTCGTTGAAAAAGGTCTCAATTCATACTGTTTTGTGAATTTTATATATGAAACTATATAAAGTTGAAACTTCTTTATGAAAAAGTATAATGCAAATTCATTTCTTTGAAACTATGTTGGCTTCTTCTAATTTGTGAACTAATACAAATCGATATTTGTGACTTACACATGTTGAAACACGTGCTTGCAAGAGCTTTTGTCTGTACAAGTAGTTTATATATAATTTGCAATACGTGTATACTTGACGCAAGTCTTGATATTTCTCATTTATTGATGCATGTTAATATGAAACGTGTGTGGGATGTTGATATTTAGTACTATAGAAACGGAGGTGGGAAGTAAATAGAGAAATCCCAACTGCTTTCTACACATTTTCATCACTATATTAAAGTAGACCTATTCTTTTGACTTTCTATACACGCGCAAAGGCAAAGGGGTCTTCCATTTGCCTTAAGATCCATTTAGCATGGCTTTCTAAAGGTCAAAAGTTATTTTTTGAACCTATTTAGCTAATTTTCTGAAAGCGTTTTGTCTGATTAAAATAACTTTTAAGAGAAAGCTTGCCTAAAGTAATTTTTTCAAAAAATAAAATAAAATAATTCACAAGAAAACCTATCAAATGGACCCTTACTTCTGTTATAAAATTATATACACCATAACATCTTGGTGAAATTAAGCAAGATTATGGACGAAATAAAAATACGTGTTGACCCCAAAAAATGAGCCAACATATGTCGGGCCCACTATCGCCACGTCGAGCAAATTTCGGCACGTTTCTACAGAAAAAATGGTGAGAAATGAGGCAGAATTGGACGTGAGAGACAAATATATTCGAACTCCGACGGGTGAAACAAAAATGATCACGCTATCAATGATCACTAAACGAGGATCAAAACTACTAACCAAAGATCTCACTATAATATGTGGAAGAATAGAAAACAATAGAATGTTGTAAATTATAAGCTTGCTTAATAAGATACTTCTCTTCCAGGTGTGTATAATGCGAGATGAAAATGGAAACATAAATGCTTGTAAGAATATCTTTCAATATTTTTTATTCCCATATTTGAGAGCTCAAGATCTGAGAAAATAAGAATACTCGCTCCAATTTTTTCAATCCCTTCTAAGTTACAAAGATGATCTATATATACTGCCTTGGCCGACGTGGTGTCCGTTGGATCAGAACCACGTGGCCTCATCTACTTAGTTGAGATTTTACATCATTGTCTATTAATATAATTAACACATTGATAAGGAGTTAGCCGCTCTATACAATAGTAGCGGTGGCTCGACTTGGCCCATCTACCCATGAGTTCGGCTCGTCAAAGTGCCAAGTCGAGACCGCGAGCTCGTGGTTTTTTTTTTTTGCACACATTTTTTACGAGCCCACGAGCTGCAAGTCAAAACTGCTCGGCTCGGGCTCGACAAGCCCGAGTAGCTCACTAGCCGCTTTTTTACGAACCGACGAGCCACTGGCTCGATTGCCACCTCTATACAATAGGCTGACACCCTGACATTTTCTATTACAAGTGTTACATCAATCACTTCTGAAAGATACTCAAATATATTGTAAAAGAGCATCAGCTTTTGAGCTTCGGATGAATTAAAGAGCCTCAGAGCTGGTCCTGTGAGTTGAGAGCTTCAGCTTCTTTCTTCGTTTCTTTAGGCAGTGCTTCAACACAAGTGTAGTGCTTCGTTCGTTGAGGCAGTGCCTCAGTGCGAGCTTCGGTATTTTGCATAATTTCTTTGTATTTTGACCACTTGGATCTCTGTTAACTTTCTGTCCACGTGGATTGCTATGTGGGACTTTCACTTTGAGCCTCGGTGACGAGACGTAACAATAGCCTCCCAAATCTAGACATGATTATTTATATAATACATGAACTTGAATATATATATATAATTTAGTAGGCGGTGGTTTTTTACCACGCCACAATATGCATAAAGAGTTGTTACACTTCCCAAGACAATGGATGTGGCAAATCAAGTCATTGTCAATGCAAAATACCAAGTCAAGATTCAAATAAAAATTTAGATATATTTCAATTAGATCAAACGAAACAAGATAGTATAGTCAATCATAAGATTTAACGATGTACAATCCTCCTACATGTGCTATAGAAGGTCGAGTTTGAAGGTTAAAACTCGAGCTACGAAAAGTACCAAGATCGAACATAAGAGCTCAGACTCTAAAGATTTAATCAACTCAATGTCTCAACATAACAAGCAATCAACAATTGAAGCAAGGAGGCTCTTGCAAAGAAATTTTACAACTTTGTCTAGCACACAAGTCATACAAAGCCTATTTGAATCTCGAAAATACATGTAGAATAATACGTAGCCTACTAATATATCATTGTATATATGCAGAGATGTCTCTAATTCTCCAAGGGAATCATCGCTCTGTCACATGCAATAACTCTACCATCGAACTAAAGATTTAATCAACTCAATGTCTCAACATAACAAGCAATCAACAATTGAAGCAAGGAGGCTCTTGCAAAGAAATTTTACAACTTTGTCTAGCACACAAGTCATACAAAGCCTATTTGAATCTCGAAAATACATGTAGAATAATACGTAGCCTACTAATATATCATTGTATATATGCAGAGATGTCTCTAATTCTCCAAGGGAATCATCGCTCTGTCACATGCAATAACTCTACCATCGAACTAAATATCAACCACTTGTGCATACAAACATTTTTATTGCCCGAATAATCAACCAATTCAGAGTTATTCTCAAAATTATATTCACCCTAGTGCAAATGAGGATCACAAAAAATAATTATAAAATTCAAAATTGAGTTTAGCAAACGAGTACTGCACAATCAGCAACCATGTAAATTAACCAATAAAAACAGCCAACACTCATGTTTGATCTATACATCTACTTCTGAAAAGAACTAGTAAATACTAACACTAGATTTAGAACATTATAAACTAACAAAAGAGAAAAGAACGACCCGGAGACTCTTCTTAGAACTAAGTGGGAACAACCCCATCATTATTTGGAGAAATATGGAAAATGAAGAATCTCAGGATGAGTACCAATATTACTAACTGTATTAAGAAATATGAAGCGTACTTGCATATCCTCATCTGCAGTTTCAATGTCTTATCAGCACTTACAATATCTTCACAAGAATTCACCAACTTCTTGGCTTCTTTTTCAAGCATTGAGGCCTTGTTTTTTGTATTCTCAAGCATGTTCAGCTTCAGGGATTGCTCTGAAGCCAGAGTTATTTTATCCTTCACAGCAGCTATATACTTTTGGGCAGTTCTTGATATTGCCAAATATTCAACTTCAGCTTCAATCTTCAGCCTAAAGAGGTCGTCAAGTTCTGTTCCCATGTATTTTCTGTTTGCTGCTTCTTTCGCCTCAGAGTGCAAGGAATGGAAAGAACTTTGCATATTCTTGTCAGATTGTATTTGCTTGGAGGGGCTAGTCTCCTGGAGTTTCAGATCGATAGAAATGGTCTCTGAAGGTAAGTCCTGAACTGCACCATCAACTGAAACATCTAATAAAATTCCAACTTCCCTAAACTTCAGTACCTCTGCAGAGATATACCAACACATTTTAGCAACAGACATATCAGGAATGAAAATGAACACGACAATCAATTTTGAAACATTGTAAAGGAACTATGCTAATCTATATCATGCGAACAAAAGTAGCAACTAGGTTCTCCACAGGATGCAAAGATTTTTAAAAGTGATGGTAAATGAAGTAAAATGCACTACTTAATACGTCTTGCATATTCTGATTTCAAATCCGGAACCACCAAAATAAAACTACACAGACAAAGCTACAGCAACAATGGAAATGATTTTCGGAAAGTAAAAAGGTACGTGCAACTATGCTATTAGAACTCCGAAGTTATGAAGAGGTCCACCATTAGCAACCAATGCAGCAACAATGTCACTGACAGTGTCCCTTCTTCATGTTAGAAATGCTTGATATAAAATGAAAAATGTAATGCGGTTTCCTTCTTTACATCGCATTGCCTTGGAGCCTTCAGCTATGGTGAGTGATGCTATGGCTATATCTAATGGGAATCCAAGCTGGAACATTGCTTTCGGGAGGGGCTTACATGATTGGGAACTGGATGACTATGCATTGTTTTTGGCCTCTCTATATGATGTGCACATTCAGGTAGGAGAGGATGACTGTAGCAGGTGGAAGGAGGCACGGAATGGTTTGTTTTCTGTTCGTGTTTATTTCAGATCCCTTTTGGAACCTGTGGAGAGCTCATTCCCCTGGCAAAGTGTCTGGCAAAGTAAATTACCTCCAAGTGTGGCTTTTTTACTGTGGACGGTGGTGAGGGGACATGTGTTAACGGCGGATAATCTTCGAAGAAAGGGCTATTGTGTTACGGAGTGGTGCTATATGTGTAAGAGGGATGGCGAGACGATCGATCATTTGTTCATTCACTGTGACGGTGTTCGTTGGATGTGGAATGATATCCTGGCCTCGCAACATATGAGTTGGGTGTTGCCAAGATGTATCAAGGAGGTGGTGTGGGCATGGAAGAGAAAGTTTCGAGATAAGAATAGTAAGCTTGTTTGAGATCTCATTCCCGAATGCATCGTTTGGTGTGTTTGGAGAGAACGAAACGGCAGATGCTTTGAAGACCAAATACGGACGACAGAGCAATTTAGGGAATTGTTTTACTTGACTTTGTATAGTTGGTTTAAGGCTGTAACCATTAGTCCGATAGAAGGGTTGCCGAATTTTTTATCGTTCCTATCTTGTTTAAACTGATAATGTACTCCTTGTGTATTATCTTTCGATTTTCATTTATAAAATTACGTGATCACCTATCAAAAAAAAAAAGTGATGGAAAATATTCAATGCACATTATTATAGCCTTCAGATTTTACTTTCAGGTGTACATTTTTTCGTATGTGATACACAAATGTCTGAAGGGTAAGATGAAGGCTAGGCGCTATCTTTACAGTTGTAGTTTCCAGACTAAATAGTTCTAGTGTTTGCGTTGTAACTAAGAAGAGTTGCCAAATCATGTATGATGTAACAAATTCTGCCACCCAGGTTGGAAAGATAAAAACTCAACAATATAAATTTTCGTCCAAATTTGTTCATTGTGTTGGATGAAGGCCAGGCGATATCTTTACAGTTGTAGTTTCCAGACTAATAGTTCTTTTGTATACTCAAAGAAGTAAAGTTTTTCAGCAGGTTCAGCTCTAGATCAAATTCCATAATAATGCAGCAAAAAATTTTAAATTTATTTCAATTTCCTCTTGATTTTCAGAACATTTTTCTTCTAGTTTTACTTGATTTGCTATCTCGGGATGTAAGAGTTACAAAAGTACAAAATGCATACATACAGCATCTTTGAACACCTCAAAAAGGAAGAAATACAAATATTCTGATCATTGGTAACCAGCAAAGACTCTCTCCTTTCCCCGAATATAGAAAAAAAAATGCAATAACTGCAACCTCTATATTATTTTTATAATATAAGAACACAATTTCATTATGTCAGTTTGACCAATTTAAAAGCATATTAGTTAAATACATGATTTGACTCAGGCTTAATCTTCCATATTGTGAGCAAGACCATCAACAAAAGGTTATAAGTGTGAACAAAGTTTCTGGAATATGTATGCATGTTTGTGTGAGTTGATATTAAAAATTAACATTAATTTACATTCAGAGAATAGCTAGATTAACAAAAGAAGCAACATAATAATTTTAAGCACAAAACAATTAAGAGAAAGGGATAAAGCTTTTCATTAACCATTTTTATTACCAGAGATGTGCTCGTCTACCAGTAGAAGATCACAAAGTACAGGATAAAAATTTAATAACAATTCAAACTAGTATAATTATCAAATTGTGCAGTTTAAGAAGACCAACAGACCTTTTCCTAGTGCTTCTTGTGCTGATTGGAGTGTATAGATAGATTCAACTAGAGGATCAAATCCGGCATTAGGTTCATCACAGTTTCCTCCATCATAATTCAACGACTTCCTACTGTGAACCCTGTTACTTGTTGCAGAATCATTTACCTGCATAATTACAAATTGGAGCTTCGAGAGTCAGATTCCAGGCTGGAATGAGAGTTTTCTTTCTCGATTTTGACCTGCTCTCCCCTAGCCATCTTAACGGTCTCAACCCGACCATTTCCTTTCTGACCGTGCTGCACTGAAATGTCCGAATTCTTCCCCCCTCGATTCACTTGTCTGGCTCTTATTGAGCAGAACTCATGCAACAGGAAGCTCGTACCTTATCTATGGTGTGCTGGATACTGTGGATAACTTGCTAATTTGATCCGTGCAATTTTGTGAATCCATTCAATCAATAAAGGTTTGGCCAATCACTAACTCAGAATCATCAAGCACCACAGAATCATTAAAACTCCTCTCCACAGGTGACACAGACCCCTCATTATTTTGCTTCCTCTCAGTAAAAAACTGCATCCTTTACTCGAATTCCACGCTGAATCCTACAAACCCATTGTCGTTATCGGTTATCCTGCCAGTATCAACGCCATTATCAGCACCCTTATTTACTTCCCACTTGATCGTTCTCCATTTCTTCAAGACACGCCCTTTGCTCAGTGAAGGGGAGGGAAATACTTCCTGTTGAACCTCCACAGGAGCCAAATTTATTGATCCTATAACTTTAATTCCTTTTCAGAAAGATAACTCACTATTTTTCACCACGCAATACCCCCTTCTATGAACCTTTATTTCACATCACTAATACTCTTTCTTTCAGAGGCAGAGATCGTAGCAATTGCTTCATTATCTTCCAGGGGTGCAAGCTCCTATAATTCACTTTCCAAAACCGTTAACCGTAAAATTCAGCAAATTTAATTGTTTAAACCCCTCAAGCGAAATATTCAGATCAAAATCGAGAACAAGTAACCATCATTCCAGCTCATGGATAGTCGAATATACCGAAAATTCTCCAGAAGAAAATGAATTACTTTCCGGTGGTATCAAATCCCCATTCACGGAATTCGTTTCTTCAATAATAAATAGGAAAACGACAAAAATAAATGCTATTAAAAAATTAGAGGAATTTGAGCGTACCTTGGGCTCCATAAATGAGCGTTGAAATTTTGAGAAGAAAACAGTATCTTAGATGATGGGAAGATTTGGAAATTTACGTTTACACAAACTGTAAAATTTGTTGATTTGACTGGTTTTAAAAGATGAATTGCTGCGAGGAATTAATTAATTGTATGGATTATGCAGAACCGAACGTGGAGAGTTGTGAGATGAAGGGGGCCACTAAGACGGAAAATGGAAGACGGTGAGTCGGTGGCTGTTGATCCGAGTTGGCGAGTCGAGTAATTTGAACAATAATATCTAATTAATATAATCACTTTAAAATATTTTAACATCAAACTATGATTTTGTTAACTCTCTTTTTATTATTTCAAATAAATCCTAGTACGTATATGATGGGATTTTTATTGAGAGATGCTTGATGTACACTCTACATCATGCATGACACTCCTCTCACAATGGTGGGGGGCCCACAATTTAAAAAATCGTTGACCACACACTTCATTGTGAGATGAATGTAAGTCTTAATGTACACAAGAGTATACATTAAGACTTTTATTTTTATTAGCTGGTATTTATTCCAATCATATTGGATGTACAATATTGTTGACAACATTATTAACATTGTTATTGGACAGTTTCAAAAATAATTCAAATTTCCAATCAACATTTTTTTGCCACTTCCAATAATGTTACAAAAATATTCCGTGTCCAAGATTTTAATGGATTTTAAAAGGTAGAAATTACATCCAACCAAATTTTGTAAGGTTTAAAGTTTTTTATACAAAATCGGAAGATAATATAATTTTTAAATATTAATAATAATATTATAAAATTAAATAAAACTACAAACCCATCACCACCTACAAAAGCACTCACCCCACCCTATTTCAAATCCTAAAATATTTTAATATATATTCTCTCTCTCTCTCTCTCTCACTTTTCCCTCCTCGCCTTCTCTACTCTCCGTCGACGTTTCGACAACACATCCTTGCACCACCACCACGCAAAGCGGACCATGACTGTCGCTCGTGGGGGAAACGCTCATGGCGTCGCTGGATGTTGGCAGGATGCGACGTTGCTCGATTGTGACAGGATGCGACTACGATCTGATAGGGATGACTCTCATCCTTCGTCGCTCCTTAATTGCAGATCTTTTTTTATTATTATTTTGATTTATTCCATGGTCGATGGACACAATGATTTTTTTCTACGGTTCAATAGTGGTGTGATGTAGGTATAGTAGTGTGTTGTGTGATGGTGTGGGTTTTTGCGGGTGCTGTAGTGATGCAACGAGATGGTGGTGATTGTGGAGGCGATAACGCTCATGGTGGTGGTGGTGGTGGGGTAACCAATTATTTGAGTGTTGTGACAATAAAGTGTTAATTTGTGATCAGTAAATGATATGTGACATAGAATAATAAGTGATTGTGGTTAAATTTGTAATTGTGATTCAGAATTTGATAAATTGTGATTAATTAATTTAATAATTTGTGACATATAAAATTTGTAATTTATGATCATGAAATAAGTTGTGATCTATAAAAATTGTAATTTATGATCGATAAATAAATTGTGACATATAAATTTTTTGATTTGTAATCGAAAAATAATTTACAACCAATTAATTTGATGATATGTGATCGAGAAATAAGTTGTGATATATAAAATTTTTGATTTGTAATCGAAAAATAATTTACAACCAATTAATTTGATGATATGTGATCGAAAAATAAGTTGTGACTTATAAATACATAATTGTGCATAATATATTTAATTAATAAAATATATTGTTAATTAATTATTTCATAAATAAAATTTAATTAATATATGATATTTGAAATAATAAACCTCTTTTTTTAGTTTGGAAATAGGTCATACTTAATCTCTAATTTTTTTCCTTTTAGAAGTCCATTCTCAATTAATTTTTAACGAACTTTATTAAAATCTAAATTTTACTGAATTTCAATATTTTTTTTTTTAATTTTAGGTATTTTCAATAATACGTAAATTTATAAGGAATTCATTAATAAAGTCATGTCAAAAGAATTGGATAGATTTTAAACTTAAAAACACGTAACAAACTCTTTTGAAATTGAATTATTTTCAATAAGTTTCATATGAATTATGTGAAAATTTATTTAAATTTAGAAATTCATTAAAATTTATAAAAATAGTAATTGAGGATACTCCGCTGATGATTAATTAAAAGTAAACTCCAATATAAAGTTTTGCAATATGTACTTAACGGAGATTTTAATGAATTTTAAATATAGTTCTAAATTCAAGTGTCCCCAATTAAGATTTTAATGAATTTTAGTAAAATCAATTAAAATCTAGGTGTCCCCAACTGAAATTTGAATGGATTTATATCAAATCCTTTAAAATTTAAAGATTCTTAATAACTCACATATTTTTCAAAGGATTTCAATAATAGAGAAATTTTAAAAGATTTGGATGTATTTCATGCTTAAAAATAAATATAAAAAA